TAACAATGCATATGTCAACAGTTGAAGTGCAGAACAGTTTTAGGAGGGGTGTACAGAGAAATCTTCAGTAACTTAGTGAGGAGTAACTAATCTTTGTGTCCTACCTAGTAAAGTATGTGTGAGTCCACGCTGACCATATTCCTGTCTGGTTCTAAGCTTTCCTTGTTGTTCTCTATCTATTCTAATTTGTGTGTTTGTGTGTGTGTGTGTGTGTGTGTGTGTTTGGGGTCGGGGGCTTCGGAGCAACCCTGATGGTCATTGCAAGGAAAGCTTAGAACCAGACAGGCATGGGCCCAACTGGAAACCATTATGTTAAGGGAAATGAACCAATCCCAAAAGGTTAAATACCACATGTTTGCCTTAAGTTGGGTAGGGGCTGATGTTGCTGTGCTGCAGGTTAAGCTACTGTTTGCACTACCAGCCTCTCCTATTGGAGTGCTGCCTCAGTTGCTCAGTTCCTGATCTGGCTTCCTAATATTTGCCTGGGGAGGTAGTGGAAGATTGCTCAAGTCGCTTGGCACTTGACACTCAGGCAGGAGACCAGCCAGCTCTGGTTTTTTACAAACATTTGGCGAGTGAACCAGCAGGTGAAAAACCTCTTTTTCTCACAGTCACTTGTTCTTTCTCTGTCACTCTGTCTTTCAAATAAAAGTAAATAAATCTCAAAAAAAAAAATGTGGATAAGGGCTTTTGGGTGACAACAAATGTGTGACTGGTTTGAGATAATGCAAAAGGGGATGTATACAAAAATTAGAAACAGGCAAGTAAAATGGATTTTCTTAAAAAACCCATCCTGGATTCCAGGATGAAAGTTGAAGTTTAAATCAATTGACTGTGGAGACACTGCTAATTTTTGAAGTGGGAGTGAAATTGATGTGTTCCTTCATGTCTTCTGCTAATCTGTTGTAGTTCTTCCCTTATGCTTTTTCTCTTAGAAAATTCACTCAGCATCATGCGTGTGGCTGCGTCTTGCAGACATGTATCTAGCAGCTTTGTCAAGCTGGTTTTCCTCTACTTACTATCACTGGGTATAACTTCCCATTTGTACTAGAAAATACTGCAGAAGTAGCAACAGTAAGTCCTCAGTTGCACGCTGCTATACACGGAGCTTAGCTGTGGGGTGAAAGCAGAATAAAAATCTGTATAGCACATGACTCTTGACTCTACAGGTCTTTGGGCATGAGAAAGGGAGTCATTACTGTGTTTTCATTAAGGAGGAGCAGATGGTGGCTTGTTGTTCCATTGCTTAGATGTCCTGTGTTGGAAGGTGGGCCTGGGGCTGTGGTGACCAGTGCCTTGGCCACTAGCCATAGAGTGCTTGAATGTGACCATGAGATGTGTTGTAATTTGCAGAATATACTCTAGGCTTCAAAGATGGTAAGGCAAAAAGGTTATAAAGTATCTCAGTAATTTAAGAAATACTGATTACACACTATAGTAAAGTAGCATTTTGTGTCTTGGATTAAATGTCACCTGTTTGTACTTTAAAAAAAAATATGGCATATGTAATTCAATTGGACAGTATGGTCTAGAGACTGGATTAATCTAAGCTAAACATTTCTTGAGTTGCATCACGTCAAGAATTATACAGGAGGACCACTGTTTTGGAGTAGTAGTTGAAGACACCCTGACCATGGCATTCCATACCAGGGTGCGGGTTGGAGTCCTAACTATTCCACTTCCAGTCCAACTTCCTATTAGCATTCCTGGGAAGGCAATGGAAGTTGGGCCAAAGGACTTGAGCCGCTGTCACCCATGTCAGAGACCAAGGTGCAGTTTCTGGTTCCTGGTTTCAACCTGGCCAGTTTGGGCTATTGCAGCTACGTGGGAAATAAACCAGTGAATGGAAGATCCATACTCATCTGAACACCTGCCACACTGTCTTTCAAAAAACAAAACAAGGAAACGTTTGTAGGAACAGGTGTTTAATCCAGTTGTGAGATATACCGTGTGCCTCATCAGAATGCTTGGGTGTGATTCCTCACACTAGTTTCCCACTCGGGCAGTGATGGTTCAAGTCACTGGGTTCCTTTCACTTGTGTGGGCGACCTGGGTTGCATTCCTGGCACAGCCGTGGTCCGGAGGGGATAGGAGCTCTCAGTTAACTGTTTCTCTCTCAAAACAGAACATTTAATTGAGGCCAGTATTGTGGGGGAAAAGGTACATTGCTGGTTGTGATGTCAGCCTCCCATGTGGTTGCTGCTTGGAGTCTTGGCTACTCCACTCGGATCCAGTTCCCTGCTAATGTCTTGGGAAAAGCAGGGAGAGATGGACCCTCCATCCAGGTGGGCTCCATCATGGCCCAGCCACATTCACTGTGGCCATTTGGGAAATAGACTAACTGATGTGAGATCTCTGTCTCTACTTCTCTAACTCTTTCAAATAAATAAATTTGACAAAAGATTATTTGTTTATATTAGAAAGGCAGATATACAGAGAGAAAGAACTTGGTGGGAAGTGGAGCAGGCGGAACACAAACCTGTGCCCATATGGGATCCAGCAGATACAAGGTGAGGATTTAGCCATTAGGCTATCCCATTGGCCCCTAAATAAATAAATCTTTTAAAAAAATAAAATCTGTTCACCCCCATTGGTAGTGATGTTTAGTTTGATAATTTCCAAAATTCTTCACGTTTAAAATGCCTCTGATTTACTTCAAGGCATTCTGTTGAAATCACTTAAAGTTGTTAGGATAAAGATGCTTCTTTTCCTTTGTAAATGCAGTTTCAGAACTTTCCATTGGAAAGAGACATTCTGAGTACTTTTAGAACTCTGTTGAGTGAAGGTACAGTGTGTATGTGTGTGTGTTTAATTAGAAGCAAGTAGAGTGATGCTTTGGCACCTTGGAAATATTCTATTTCCAATCTTTTTTTTTTAACCTAATGGATTCAGAACTTTTAAAGATCCTTTCCTGATAAGTTATTATGTTGGGGTTATGCAAAAATAATGATGATCTACTGCTGTTTTTGTCATAAATACTTGTCATTTTTTGTAAAGAATATTTCTTTTTCTTTTCAATTAATTTTTTTAAACAGAAGTGTTAGCTGTGTGGCATGTGCATTAGTCACCGCATACAATAGATGTTTGATTAGCAAAGTTGCGTGCGAATCGAAGTTTAAAATACAGAATCATAGCATACATGAGTAATGGTTGTTCTCTCTTCAAAAGGGGCATTTATTGTAAACCTTTTTTTTTGTAAAGCTAGTAATCACTTCTTAATTTCTGTTATTCTTACAACCTGAGTTTTCATATATAGCACATATATTCAACATATTCTTGAGAGTTTAAATGCCAGACACTGGTAAGGCCTTGGAAGAGAGATGTGAGCAGAGGCAGCATAGCTATGCTGACTGGAGAATGCATTTGGATTGCTGTTAAGGCAGTTGCAGCCCCGACATGGTAGCCTAGTGGCTAAAGCCCTCGCCTTGCATGCACCGGGATCCCAGATGGGCAATGATTCTAGTCCCGGCGGCCACGTTTCCCATCCAGTTCCCTGTTTGTGGCCTGGGAAAGCAGGAGAGATCGGCCCAAGGGCTTGGGAGTCTGCACCCATGTGGGAGACCTGGAAGAAGCTCCTGGCTTCGGATCGGCACATCTCTGGTCGTTGCGGCCACTTGGGGGGAATGAATAGGTAGATGGAAGATCTTTCTGTTTTTGCTCTCTGTAAATCTGATTTTCCAATAAAAATAAATAAATCTTGAAAAAACAAAAAACAAAGACAGGTTCCTAGAACTCTGTGAAAGTAGGTAATTTATATAACTGTGTCTGAGGAATCTTGAGTGGAAAGATACTAGAGTCATGAACTTAATCATTCTTGATGGGTTCTGATGAAAAACATATACACGGTTGTTGGCAATTTCCTCCTGTTGTCTTCCTCATGGAACATTTTGATTTTAGATGCCTTCTCTCAGTGTGTAATTTCATCTAATGCTCTTGTCTTCTGGAGACATTGCATTGTTTTTCTGGTCTCTGTGCTTCCACAGGACAGGTGCTAGAGCCATGGTTGGGAAGCTGCAAGAGCCTGCAGATTCAGAGCATCAGGAGGGGAATTGCCAGCCAGTCTCAGCTCTCTGCACAGATTCCTCCTGGGCTTGCTCATTAAGAGACACCATGTTCCTGGCTTTGTCAAAGAAGTTTCTGGTAGAGCAGGGGGTCTCTACACATTCCAGAAAGATTTGGAAGCTTAGGACCACCTGCCATAGCCCGCTCGTGAGGAGTTCGTTTTTGTGAGAGTGACTCCAGGTTGATGCATGGGCTCCGGATATTTCTGTCTACTTTTGGGTTAGTTGTGGATTTTGCATCATCTTGCTGAGTTAGATTTTCCTCCTGGGAGGGAAGGCAGTGAAGGCAGGCTCCCATGGGCTCTCAGCCATAGGATATGGCAGAAATCTGCAGCCTCTGAGTTCCAAGGAAAGGCCGACTGGCACCTTGCTAGATATGTGCTTACTAGAAATCTGTGTCTGTCTTTTTTCTCTTCTCTCTCTCTCTTTTTGATGACTTATTTATTTGTTTATTTTAAAGTGAGATACACAGAGAGGGGGAGAGGCAAAGAGGAAGATCTTCCATCTGCTGATTCATTTCCCAAGTGGCCGCAATGACCAGAGCTGCATTGATCCAAAGCCATGAGACAGGAGCATCTTCTGGGTCTCCCACGCAGGTGCAGGGTCTCAAGGCTTTGGGCAGTCCTCGACTGCTTTCCCAGGCCACAAGCAGGGAGCTGGGTGGGAAGCGGGGTGGCTGGGATTAGAACCAATGTCCATACAAGATCCCGGCGCATTCAAAGCAAGGACTTTAGCTGCTAGGTTACCATGCTTGGGCCAGCTTCATTTCTCTTCTCTCCTTTTCTCATCTCATCTCTCTTTTTCTTTCTTTCCTCCTCTTTTCTCTCCCTTTTCTCCCTCTTCTTCGCTCTCCCTCTCCCTCTGGGATAGTTCCTTTCGGATTAGTAAGTAGACATGGCCACCGTTAGATGTGTGTCTGTCTTTAAAGCAGTGTCTGTCAGTTATATGTGTTATGACCTCAGGTTCCAGAATTCCAAGGCAGCATCCCTTCAGGGAGATATATCTCTTTGGATCAAGCCCAAGTTTACCATCAGTCATCTGGCTGGGAAAAGGACAGCTCAAAAGAAAACACCTTGCCAATGAACTGGCTTGCACGTTTTTTCTCGAAGCATCCTGTGGATGATTCTTTATCCCATGCCAATTCACCGCTTTTGTTTCCATTCATATCGTCTGAAGATGAACGATACTTTTTTTCCAACTTGAGGTAGGAAGGAGGATGATTTTTTCCCCTTAGTATTTGCTCTTGAGTTATACAGCAAATCAACCTCAGCATCCAGGGAGAAGACGGGGCCTGGGCAGACTGTGTTTGCTAAGTGATTCCATGTGTGCTCCCAAAGGGGGTAGCTGATGAGTTCCTTCTGGGCTTACTTGGCTGCTGAGAAGAGCATGGCTGGCTCAGCGGAGAGGTGTCTTTTCCTCCCTGAAAATGTTGAACCCTAACCAAGTGGAACTTTATTTCTGGTGCCTGCCAGTAATTTCCACCTCTTTGAAATCAAGTGAAGAATTTTGGCTTCAGTTAAGAGTCTGAAATGATCAAGAGGCCTGAGTGGAAGGCAGAATGAATCCTGGGAGCTGCAATTTTGACCAAGGAACAGTGTTTGTGAAACCCGAGGCCCAAGTCCTTGCCGTGAGGCCTGTGCCTTGGGGAAGGGGCGCACCTGTTAGGAGATGAGGGGGTTAGCGTAGAGTTGAAGAGGAGGGGCGTGTACTCCTCCCTTTCCTGACACAGTTACTCGTGAGGGATGGATTCTGGCTTTGAGTAGTCAGCCTCCTGTCCATGAATGAACTTCCTCTGCTTCTAACCGACTGTCTTGGTTTTAGCACTGAAATGTCCCCATCCTGATAAAACCTGTAGTCCTAGCCAAACCAGGATGATTGGTCACCTTGACCAAGTTTTAAGGTATTTGAGGACCACATGAAAACTGAGGTTCTGGCCCAGATCCTTTTCCTCCTTTCTTTGTTTTTCAAAAAAGTAGGAGGGGGGTCTTCAAAAATATGGAAAATGTGTATGTGTGTATGTGTGTGTTTAAATGTAATATTCTCATGAAATTTCTGAAGTGCTGTCATATACAGAATATTCCCACTAAATGTATGGGACCCTGAAGTTACCAGAAAATTCTTCACTGTCACTGCTGCGTGTCTGCAGTGTGCTGGGTAACGGGTCTTATTTAACAGTCGTCATGGCAGCTCAGGAGCTTTTGCATATTATTTGAAAGGCGAAAAGGCTTTGGGGAGGGGAGAAAAATCTTTGGTTGGTTTACTTCTCATATCCCCACATGGTTGTTGCTGGGCTGGGACTGAGGTTGAGGCTGGGAGGTAGGCACTCAGTTCATGTCTTCCACATGGTTGGGAGGAAATCACGCAGCTAGGGATGGGACTCAAACCCAGCTACTTCAAAATAGGTTGCAGGCATGTTATATGCTACACAAAATGCCCACTCTGCCAGGATATTTGTAGACCAGTTTTTATGGAGAGACCGGGACTGAATGCTGTGATAGGTTGAGTTTCCCAATGTGAAGCAGAATGCCGCTGAACCACACTTCAACTTTAATGTTGCTTGAATGGAAAAATCTAGGTGCGTTCTGCTAAATGAAAAACTGGCTGAATTTGATGGTAAATGGATAGTTTTCTCTGGTTTTGCAAAGCTCTGTGGCCATTAAGTGACCCACCATTTCCATACTCATTGCTATTCTTCATGATGACCTAGGGTTCTCTGTCCTGGAAGCTGCATTAGCTACTTCAGGCTGATCACTGTCACTGCCCCTGAATGGTTCAGTTCTTAACTGGATTAGTAAGTGCTGGGTGCACAGAAGCTGCTCAGTCAAGAGTTGTTCTGTCTGTAGTTTAAGTTATGACACATGGGCAATAATCTTAAAATGTTTTTGCTAATTATATACATCCAAGAATTTTTAATATAAAAACCACCAAAGATTCAGTGTGTTAAAGAAAGAAATGCTATACTTCTACAGTCCGAAGTTAAACAAGACAATCCTTCTCCCAATATTTTTGTCCACCAAAGAAAATCTGTACCCTTGGTTGTCTGATTTGGGTTAGCAGACAGACTTCCTTGCCATCATAAAAGGTGTTATGCACATAATACCAAGATAGACACAACAAATCCTATTCCAGGTTGCAAACCGTTAAGTGGTTCATTTCAGGGGAAAATCTAATCCAGGCAGCTCAGCCCAAATAAATCCCTCTCCCTAAAGCAGACACGATGGAAGCAGTTAGCACACTGGTGGACGTCCTGCCGTGTGGGCGTCACAGTGAGAGGAAAATGTCTTAGATTGTGTGGAATGAGGCAGAAAGCTTTTGGGCACCCTCTGCTTTTACTTCATCACTTCACATGTCACAGTTGTGTGCACACCAGACGGTGAAACACAATCAAAATTACGTCATTTAGATGAGAGGGTAGTGGACTGGCTGCTGGGAGGAAGAGCCTGTGCCACCCTCTGACCTCAAGGGTTCCCATGGAGATCAGGAAATAGGAAATGCATAGGAAGAGCTCATTCAGGCCCAATTACAAACCTCTATAGGTGTTTTTTTTTTCTGCTCAGAGTGCCATGACAAAATCCCATAGAATGAGTGGGTAGCCTAAACCAAAGAGATTCATTTTCTCCTGGTCTAGAGGCTGAATGTCTGGACTCAGGGTACAGGCATTGCTGGCTTCTGGCGAGGGCTCTCCTCCTGTCCTGAGAGTGTGGCCACGTGGCCTGTCTTCCAGGTGTCCGTGTGGAGAGGCAGAGAGAAAGAGTTTTCTCCCTCCTCGAGAAGGCCACCAGTCCTACTTAGCCACAGTTCCTGCCCTGCCCTCCATGGTCTCATTTAACTTTAATCACTTCCTAAGGGCCTTTTTCCAAAATACAGTCACCTTGTAGGCTGGGGCTATAGCTTATGAATTTTGTGGAACACAGTTTAGCCCACAGCAATAGACCCTAACACATCATAACTGACATATTAAAATGTGATTATACCATATGTTACATCCTTATATAAGTATATATTACTCTATAGTAAGTGAAAATATTTTTTGTAATTTTGTCTTTAAAATTATTGGGATCTGAGTAACTCATTTAATTACAACTGGCTACTACCTGTCAGTAACACATTCATACTTGGGAATTTTTCAAAGGAAGGGAATTTACATGTTTTTAAAAATATTTGTGAATTCTAAATTATACAATGAAATTGATATGCTAGATTTTTATGAATTATAATTGATAGTTTTTATAGGAATACATGGGTGTAAATGTTTTATTTAAGAAATTATTTTTATCTTATTTGAGACACAGAATGACAAAGAGGTAGAGAGACTAATAAAAAAGATCATCCTTCTGGTTTGCTTCCAACATGCCAGCACCAGCCTGGACAGGGCCTTACTGGGCCAGGAGCGTGGAACTCAGTCGGGGTCTCTCATGCAGGTGACAAGCACCCCAGCACTTGAACCACCATCGTCTCCCAGGCTGCACGCTAGCAGAATGCTGAATGGGAAGCAGAGCAGCAAGGAACCAAACCAGGCCTTCTGATGTTGGTTGGGGGGCGTATCTTGTTTGAGAAGGTGTAGACTTACACAGAATTGGTAGAACCAAAATGAGATGTGGATCTCAATGATGGGAACAGTACAGTGCATATTCTGAAATCATAAAATTCCGTTAGCTTTAGATTAGGCACTCCAAGAGCTCCCAAGTTGTTTCCACAATGCTTTTCAGTGCCTTAAGGGGGACCCGTATGTTCTACTCTGGCCTCCAGCTGCTCCAATTCAATGACTGTTTCGGTCACAACTTTTACAGGAAAAGTATGTCTCTAGTACGAAATCAGGTGGAAAGTTTTTTGTTTGTTTTAATTTATTTACTTGAAAGAGAAAGAGGCAGAAAGAGATGGAGACAGATGTTTCATCCATTGGTGAACTCTCCAAATACAATAGCCAGGAGCCCAGAGCCAGTAGCCAGGAGCTTCTTCCAGGTCTCCCATGTGGATGTGGGGTCCTAAGGCTTTGAGCCATCTTCGACTGCTTTCCCAGGCTTCAGCCAGGGAGCTGGATGGGAGGCGAGGCTGCTGGGATTAGAACTGTCACCCATATGGGATCTCAGTGTGTGCAAGGCGAGGACTTTAACCGCTATGCTATTGCACCAGGTCCAGTTCAGATCTCTTATAGGTGGCACAAACCCAAGTTCTTGAGCCACTTGCTGCTCCCTAGGGTTAGCAGGAAGCTGCTCTTAACGGCAGAGCATGAGCCTAAACTGAGGGACACTGATATGGCATGTAGCCATCTCAAACAGCATCACCAAATGCTTGTCTCTTTTTAAAATTGTAACCAGTGGGCTTAATGGCAATGGCTCAGTGACTAAAACCTCGCTTTGCATTCTCCAGGGTCCCATATGAGTGCTGGTTTGTGTCCTGGCTGCTCTATTTCCTGTTTGCTCTGCTTGTGGCCTGGGAAAACAGTAGAGAATGGCCCAAAACCTTGGGACTCTGCACTCACATGGAAGACCTGAAGGAGCTCCTGGCTTCTGGCTTAGCGTTGGCTCAGCTCCAACCATTGTGGCCATTTGCGGAATGAACCAGCAGATGAAATATCCTTCTCTGTGTCCCTTTCTTTGCCTTTCCAAATAAATAAATAAATCTTTAAGAAAACATAAGGAATAAAATTGTGAGCAATGGAGTTTATCTGACCCAGTGTTCTGAAAGCCGTGTGTGGTGAGGGTCTTTTTACTGCATCCTAACGTGGTAGAAACACCACACAGTGAAAGAACATGAGGTACAAATTCTTCGTGAGGCCAAGGAAGCACACAGAATAGTGATGACCACCATGTCCAGACCCAGGCCAGGATCCCGGGGCCACTCTTGACCCATGCCTGAGGTCCGGGCGGCTTACCCTAGGCGTCCCAGTAGTTGCTTCCAGTGAGCTTCAGCAAGAGGAGGTTTTTTTTTCACCTCAAGTTTAAAGTCCAGTCCCTGAGCCTTCATTTCCCAGTTCAAAATGGTACGACAGAGTGCTCAGTCTGGTTAGTTTTTAGTCTCGCTTTAACAAGAGTACAAAACCTCAGGGCACAGCTCACTTAGGGTCACCTGGTTCTGCACCCACTGGGCACGGTAAACTAATTACGTGTCCTTCCGTCACCACAGTAGTTCTTTCTTTCATCTGAACCAATGGAAAGCAGAGAGGTTAAGCCTCTTAACCACGATCACGGCTTCTGGAGTTGGCAGGCTGGGATTTGAATTGAGACCTCTTGGCTTCCAATTTGTGAACTTAACTGTTGTGAAACACCACAGAAGCGGACTGTATTGAATTTGAGAGAAAGGATTTGGAATAATAAAGCCATGAGTGGAGAGACAGGGCAAAGAGTCAGGAGGAGAACGTCTTGGTGGAGGGGGAGGGCACGGCCAAGGAGGGGGAGGGGACACCCAGGGAGGGGGAGGGCATGGAGAAGGCGGCGCGGGCTGTGAGTTACGGGGGGTTTTTCACTGTGCCCTGGCCTACTGCCTGTCCTTCTGAAGCAGCTCTCTCTCTAACTTAACCCCTGTCCTTGGTTCTCCAGGAGCCACAGAGTAGCCAGCCCCGTGCTAAAGCAGCCAGCCCGTGGGGCCAGTGGAAGGACCACGGTCACAGCGATTGTCCAGACTGGTGGGGACTGGAGCACCGGCCTCTTGAGCGTCTGCAGAGATAGGAGAGTGTGTACGTTCTTCCTTTGTCGTTTCCATTTCCCCCTTGCTATTTTCTTTCCCAAGAGGTCAGTGAGTAGAAAAGCTACATCAGGGCCCCCGGAGAGAAATTTAATGGGTTAAGAGTAACAGGGCTAATCTTACAAATGCACTCCTTGGCTGGAAAAATCTTGTTTTTCAGCAGTGTGGATGCTTTCATAAAGGTAGGGCTACCATCAAGTTTTTCTTTTTTCTTTTTCCCCAGTGGCAAAATCCACTATTGTACAGGCACACAATGGCTGCCTTTGCTCACTGCTGGTGAGAGTGTAAATTGGCACAGTCTTCTGTGAAAGGCTTAGCAATATGTATAGAAAGCACCTTGAGTGTTACATAGATTTTGACCTAGTAATTACATTTGTAGGAGTTTTGTCTGGGAAAATAAAATTGCGCCAGGATTTACTGGCAACATTAAGTTTTGTAGCATGGTTGATTATAGCAGAGACCTGGAACGATGTAAAATTTTCAACGGAGAGCATTCACAGAGTGAGTTATTATACAGGCATGAAAAATCCTATCAGAAAATGGCGTTCTAAAGAAATGAAAGATGTTCTAGAAATATTTTCAGGTTAAATAAAGAGATCACACAGCTATGAACATTAACACGATTTTTTTTCCCCCAGAGGGAAATTACTTGAAAAATATCTGAGAAGGATATAAATACAGATGTTTTTATTTATGACTGGTGTCTCCAGATGGCAGGCTAATGAGTCACTTTAATTTTCTTTTTTGCTTATCTCTTTTCAATGTTTCTGTGAAAAGTATGCGGCAGTCTCATAAAGACAAGAAAAATTACAAAGTAAGCCTTCTTTATGGATTGAAATGTTTTCAGACACTGGTTCTGAGAAATACCGAGGGTCCTCCAGGTACATCATTTTACCCTGGGTTTGAAGTGTAAGACACACTCCTCTGTTTGTGCCCAGGGTAGTCGTGACCCACTCCTGGTCCATATCAGGAACCCTTTCTAGCACATGATGCTCTCAGCCGAGGAAGTAATTGTGTCGCAGAAGCTCTTGGAGGAGTAGGGAACCATTTTGTATGTGAGGACGAATCTCTCAAGGTCAAAATTCAACAGACCTTGGATCAGATCTTTTGGAAGAACAATGACTCTCTTCATCCTCTGGAGGCTTTTGTGACCAGATCTGAATCTGTCCTAAGGTCTCACAGGATAGATCAGTCCTCGAGCTCTGAGCCTGTCCTCTTTCGGCCAAAAGTCTCCCTGCCACTGCCGCTGCAGTCGGTGTGTGCCCAGGCCCTGGACAGCTGCCGTTCTGTTGTTCTGTGCCGCTGAGTGATGTCAGCAGTGGTCAGTGCTGACTCGCCCAGCTCGGCTCTCCCTTGTGGGCTGGTGCATTGGCTGACCCTTAAAGGTTCCCCCTTCGACACTGCTTGGTCTCAGCCTCCTTGCTTCCCTGCATCAAGGGGATATCCCAGGTTTTCTCCAGCTGCCTCATGTGAGCTCTGGGTCTCTGCATGCCCCCGCCAGCACTATCCCCTAGGGCCCCTGTAAACCTGCTCCTCCAGACCCCCCTGAGTCCACATTCCCATGGTGGTGCCGCCATGGTGGTGGTCAGCGCCCACGGTGTGCAGAACCTTGATTTGATTTGTTTGAACGTTTATTCTGTTTGGTTGAAAGGCAGAGTTACAGAGGAAGATCCAGAAACCTTCTGCCGGCTGCTGCACTCCCCAACTAGCCACAGTGGCCCCAGTGGCTGGAGCTGAACCAGACCAAAGCCAGGAGCTTCATCTGGGTCTTCCCTGGGGTGTCGGGGCCAAAGCACTTGAGCCATCTCCTGGTGGTTTCCCAGGTGCATTAACAGGAAGCTGGATCAGCATTGGTTTGGGGCTTGCGAATCAGTTTCCATATTGGATGTTAGCATTATAGACAGCTACTTAACCCATATAGCACAGTGCTGGCCTTTAGTTTAATCTTTTATGTATTGATCTATAGGAGCTCTTTGTGCATTATAGATACTTTAGGCTTTTGGTAGGTGGTTGCCAAAACTAGTGGTAAAGAAAAAGGACCCCATGTTCCCATTCTTGTTCATCCCTTCTTGGCATTGATTGGATAGTTGCATATTTCACTGCACTACTTGCAATATGGAGCAGTAATAATTGACACAAAAAATCTTTTTTAAAAATGAAATTGTGGGCCTGGCATGGTAGCCTAGTGGCTAAATCCTCACCTTGCACATCCTGGGATCTCATATATGTGCTGCTTTGTATTCCTGGCTAATCCATTTCTCTTCCAGCTCTCTGCCTGCTTGTGGCCTGGGAAAACAGTTGAGGCCAGCCCAAAGCCTTGGGATCCTGCACCCATGTGGGAGACCTGGAAGAAGCTCCTGGTTCCTGGCTTTGGATTGGCTCAGCTCCGGCTGTGGCATCCACTTGAGTGAATCAACGGATGGACGATCTTCCTCTCTGTCAATCCTCCTTTATGTATATCTGACTTTTTAATAAAAATAAATAAATCTTAAAAAAGGAAGTTGCATGACTTAAGACTGCCCTACAGGAATAAATCTGAAGTAGTGGTAATTAGGACACCATCCAAGAGTGCATAAATCCACAGCCAAGTAGCATAATTGGTGAATGTGGAAAACGTGGGGAGACATGGACTCTGAGGCCAGATCTGGCCTCTGCCCCTCACTAACAGTCGTATAAATCTGGATGAATTACCTAAGTTTACTAGGCATCAGGTTCCTCATCTGTAAAAATGATGACATTAAAGGAATTTTATAGTACTGGTACAGAGACTAAATGAGTTAACAGATGGAATGTGAATATGTACCTATAAAATATAGATTTAAAGATTTATCTTATGCATTTGAAGGGCAGCATTACAGAGAGGGGAAGACACAGATAAAGAGGTCTTACATCCGCTGATGCACTTCCCAAATGGCCACAATGAGCAGGGCTTGGCCAGCCTGAAGCCAGGAGCCAGGAGCCAGGTGCTTCTTACAGGTTTGTACATGGGTTAGGGACCCAAACACTTGGGCCATCTTTGGCTGCATTGCCAGGCCATCAGCAGGGAAGTGGAGGGGAGTAGAGCAGCTGAGACACACATGGCTTGTGAGCATTGCAGGCAGAGGTCTAATCCCTTATGCCACACCAGCTCTCTGGAAAATGTATTTTTTGAAGAAGATTTATTCGGGAGGGGTTGGGGAAATTCCAGTGACTATGAAATTGTGCCATAAAATGAAACGAAAAAAAATTTATTCATGTATTTGAAAGACAGAAAGAATCTTCCATGCACTGGTTCCCTCTGCCGAATGGCCACAGTAGCTGGAGCTGGCCCATTCTAAAGCCTGGAGCCAGGAGCTTCTGGGTCTCTCACATAGGTATGGGGGCCCAAACACTCGGATCATCCTCCATTGGTTTTCAGTGGCACATTATCAGGCAGTTGGGTTGGAATTTTTTCTTTCTTACAAGAGCTCGGCTCATAATGAACTCTGTATGAATACTAGCTGTTATGTAAGTTTGTTCTTCATAGTTTTTTTTTTTTTTTAAAATAACATCTGACTTTTAAGCAATTGAAATTTGGGTGTGTTTCCTTTGGCATCTAGTACTAACTCGTAATGAACACTTAGATAACATGAATATATGACACAAAAGATTAAAAATAAAGATAACAGCATGCATTTTTTTTTTTAAAAAAAGACCTATGAATCATAAAAATATGGTGGAGTTCCAATGTGCATAAACAACTTCCCTGCTATATACTCCCTGAAGAAAGTGGGCATCTCTTTACAGGTTAAACACAAATGCCTCTGAGGTTATTGGGAAAGCACTTTAAAGTTATGCAATTTTTGATTTTTTTTATTTGCAGGGACCTGTTGCATTTCATAATTTACACATTAAGTATGAGCTGATCAATTTTAAAAAAATGTAAGATTTATTTTTTAAAAAAATCAGATATACAGAGAAAAGAGAGACAAAGAGGAAGATCTTCCATCCGATGATTCACTCCCCAAGTGGCTGCAATGGTTGGAGCTGAGCCAATCCAAAGCCAGGAGCCAAAAGCCTCTTCTGGGTCTTCCGTGTGGATGCAGGGTCCCAAGGCTTGGGGCCATCCTTGACTGCTTTCCCAGGCCACAGCAGGGAGCTTAATGGAAAGTGGTGCTACCAGGACACAAACCAGTGCCCATATGAGATTCTGGCATGTGCAAGGCAAGGACTTTAGCCACTAGGCTACTGTGTGGGGCCCAAGCTGATTGATTTTTATGTGTCATTGATTTTTTATTTTTCTATTTCATGGTCACATACCTTGTGACCAGTCGGTAGCTACTGTACATTTACTGGATGTTTTGTTGTTCTTTGAGGTGTTCTAGTTGTCATGCCAGGTGGGGTCTGCTAATTTCCCTGGCTTTTTTTTTTTTAATGTGAGGTGAAATAGCTCAGACTTTTGAGAGACTAAATTAAGAGCTTGCTGTGAGCCCAATGATGCTCACAGTGGTTAGCTCAGGTCTTGCTCCTCTCCTCCTCTCCTCCATGCTCCATCCCGAGCTCTGTTAGACTTTGTGCACATCTGCTACTTCAACCACTATACCAACTCGAAGCTGCCTAGAATGCCAGAGCATTCTTTCATGGTTTTAAGATAAAATAGCATCCCTGGCTTTTTGTATCTATGTCACTAGATTTTGGAGTAGGAATGTGCAACACTACCTGTTGGGAAAGGGACTGTAAGTAGGGACAGAATATTAACAGAAATTTCTAGGTGCTGATGTCATAGTACATATGACTTTGAATCTGGTGCACTTACGGGCTGCGGTGACTATTAGGTAACTATTCTGACACTCGTTAGAATGGCCACAGTGAAAAAGACTGGCAGTCCAAGTGTCGGTGAGGGTGTGAACAGTTGGAGCATCTCGTGCATTGCTGGAGGGCGTGTCAGCATAGACACTTGGAGAACTGTTTGTTATTTCATGTAAGGTTAGATATGTAGGATCTAGCAGTTCCACTTCTAGGAATCCACTCAAGCAAAATGAAAACACAGGTACATGTAAATACTTACAGGTGAGTATTCCTAGCAGACTTATTCATATTATCAAAAATATGAGATAATTGAATGACTGTCAATAGGAGAATGGATAGGTAGATGTGTAGAGTATTAATAGAAGAAACTATCACTCAACGTTTTAAAAATCTATATAGTCATGCAATAACGTAGTTGAATCTGAAAAAAAATGACAAGAAGTCAGAAATAAAAGTCAACATAATTCAATTTACATGGAGTCCAAGAAGAAACAAGTTTCACTAATGAGAATAGAGAAGATGGAACAGTGGTTGCCTCTGGAGTGGGAGGTGGTAGGGTTGGCTCGACTGCAAAGAGGCGCGGGGCACTCTGAGTTGTGACACTGTGCTACCTGTTTGCTGGGTAGAATGGAATGTAGAAACTCATCCAGCTGACCACTTAGGGTTGCATTTACTACTGTACAAATTATGCTTTTACAAAAGGTTGATTTTGTACATTTCTCGAAGGTTATGGTTAGCTTGGTATTTTTTTCTATTTCCTAGTCCTAAGTATTTGCGTTCGTGAGAGTTAACATCTTTTGCAATGGTGGATGACATTAACTCTTAACTGTCTATCCAGGATCCTTGGGCCATTAATGGTTTTCAGTGGATCCATGAACCCCGTGAAATTGAATTTGCCTTTTAGCGTGGTAGTGTGCATACATTTTCTTTTCCCTTATGAAGTGAATTTATTAATACCATCATATTCTCAAAAGGGTATGTGACCCAAAATTTGTTTTGACTAGAGCTTCTGTGTCAGAAGATTCAGACAAATGTGTCAGACACAATATCAGGAGATAAGGATGAATGAATTAATAAATGACATATTGCTTCCAGTTCATGTTCCAGGAACAACGCTCCTAACAGTTTGCAGATTAAAACTGTCAGATGTTAATGGTTTCGTGAAAGTAACAAAAATTAGAGTAACATCTGGTCTGAGAAATAAATTGCACCATAAAAGTACATTTATCATTAAATAGTTTTCAATCATGTCTAAAGAAAATATCCTATACACTATATCTATCTTAAATATGGAAATTAGATTGATAGAAGTGATATTAGTGATTCAACTGTAAAGAATCACTTTTGCGTTGATGAAAAAAGCTAGTTACCACAGTCACTGCTAACAGAATTGCATCAGGCTAAACTTTGTTAATGTTCACAAAAGAAGGCAAATTTTATATGACTCAGTTCTGGCACTTTCCATATACTGAGTCAGTCCCTAATCGCAGGAAGACAGCATAGCATTAAATTGGTGGCACTGGGTTGCAGATACTCTTAGAGAGGTGAAATTGCTCTAAGAACCTCTGAGAACTTGGGCTTTCTCTTGTGTGGTTGTTGACAGGTCTCTGTGGTCTGTTCTGTCCGATGTGTCTGGAGTGTGACATTGCCAGGCGTTATGGAGAGTGTCTTTGTTGGCCCTTGTTACCTGGGTCCAGCTTTGCATTGAGAATTGGCATCAGAGAGAGATATAAAATACGGGTAAGTGTATGGGAGGTCTGTGTGAACCTGGATCTATGTAAGAAGCTAGATGTCTTCCAACTTAGTGATTTTCAAGGGGAAGGGAAAAAAAAAAAAGAGGAATGGGTAAGGATGCTGAAGAAAAGAAAAACCACTTAGTGCAAAACTTTGGGAGAAGAAAGAAGTTTCTCATTTCATTCTTTACTAGGAAATAGGTTCGGTCCTTTAATCTTTTTTGATCAATATTTTTCTTTTCCTTTTAAAAAAAGATTTTAAAAGATTTACAGAGAGAAGGAAAGACAGAGACAAAGATATTTCATTCGCTGGCTTACTCCCCAAGTGGTTGCCATGGCCAGAGCTGAGCTGATCTGAACCCAGGAGCCCGGAGTTTCTTCCAGGTCTCCCACATGAGTGCAGGGCTCCAAGGCTTTGAGCCATCCTCTACTGCTTTCCCAGGCCACAGCAGGGAGCTGGATGGAAAGTTTGGCAGCTGGGACATGAACTGACACCCATATGGGATCCCGGTGCATGCAAGGCGAGGATTTAGCCACTGAGTCATTGCACTGGGTCCTTGATGCATATTTTCAAGGGAAAATGGTCATGTGGATTCTTGGTCAGTGTTCTCCATGAGCTGTGCTTTGATGAAGGTGACTGGAGGATGTAGCCAGAATTGGTTTCAGTTCCAAACCATTACTCATTCCTTCAGTGCTACAGAATGGAAGCACTGTTATCTTTTTGTTGTTTAATCAAAAAGATAACAGGTAGAATCATACAGGATTTGGAGGATATATTTAGGAGTCAGACTTAAAATATGGTTTATAGAGCACATGCAGAATTCAGCTTTGGGGTTTCCTGGGAGTCTCTCAGAGAGCCCGATAATGAACTTCCAGCACAGCGGAGACTGGAATATGTGGGAGGTTGGGAAGGGTAGGTCATACTCGGTAAGATGTGAACAGCTTAAGAAAAGACATCTCTGGATGTGTTCTACAGATGATCCCTTTGATATGTTTTTAAGTGAAGGAAAAAAAGGGAAGGCATAGAAGTATACAACTGTTTCATAAAATATTATGTATATGTATGCCTAGGATGACATGCAACTGTCCTGGAAGTGCATACAGGAAGCTGGTAACGGTGGTTGTCTGCAGTCTGGTTAAATGGGTGGATGGGAGAAGCTGCATCTGGGCACTTACTTCTGACTTGTACAGTATGTTCACCTGTTAACCACTGCAAAGAAATAATGGGGAAGCCAGTGGTTTCAAGGCATGGGGGCAGAGTTAGAATTCCTAAGAGCAGGTGGGCTGTGAACTGTAAGTACAGGTTAGCAGCTGAGCTGATTGGCACTTGCGCCACCTAGTGTCTCTCAGTGTTGGCTTAGGGTGCTGGTGGATCTTGGAGGTGCAGGGGGCTTAGATGATCAGTAGGTGGCGCTGAATAGCTCTCCAGGCAATGGAACTGTGAGCAAATGGAGACTGGTCTCACCCTAGGGCACGTTATGCACGGATTGGCTGGTGGCGCACTGCTGTTGGCCTCTTTCCGTCTGTCAGGTGGCTCGGGAACTCAAGATGAGGACCTCCTACCTCTATGAAATCTCTGTGGTCCCTGCACCTAAGGATGCCTTGGTCTGACAGAGACAACTCCTCACTCTTCATACCTTCCTTTCAAACCCTCCTTCAAAGTGTTCCCCCTTCACCCTGATTTTCACTAAATAGTATGAAAATAAAATTATTACTGCCCCTAAAATCTCTACTGCTGTCCTTTCTTTACACAATTTTCTGCTGACAGCTTGCTACTGTCTGGATTTGCTATTCCGGTTTAGCCTGTAAAGCAGATTTCAGGGGTGAATGCTGGGGCCTCCACCCCTGTGCTGGCCTGGGGCTTTGGAAGGTTGCATAGCTGCTCTTTCTCCCCTAGCTGAAGGAGAACTGTGAGGCTGAAAGAACTGCTTTGTGGCCTTCTTAGGTCAAGCTACTCTCCCCATAGTGTTAGAGAAGGGGCAGAGGATGGTCATTTTGGGTTAACACTTGCACTGTGGACCAGATGTTGCCGAAATACATAGGCTCGTGTCCCTCTTTGTCCTGACGCTGCAGTCCTGACTGTGTCAAAAACAGTCTCGAGTTGGGTCTAACCTCAAACAGCTGTCTGGTTCTTCCAGATTTCTTCAAGCACCAGGTTGAAAGAAGACCACTGTTAGGAATTGAAGGGTGCCCTTTCCACCACCACCACCCCATACACCACCTCCCTCCACTCATGGTATGTTAGATATGTGAGGGTGACCTTACCCGGAAGTAGAGTCTTTGAAGATATGGTTATTCTTAGGGTTGACCTTATTTCAATATGTCTGGCATCCTTATAAGCAGACTCAGACAAGTACAGAGGGAAGGCAGTCATGTCAAGATGGAGACAGACTAGAGCGACGTTCAGAAAACACCCAGGGCTACCAGAGCTGGAAGAAGGATGGGTTTCCTCCCCCAGAGGTTTTGGAGGGAGCACAAGCCTGCCAGCTTCTTGATTTTGGCTTCTATTCTTGAGGACTGTGACAGAATACGTTTCAGTTGCTTGAAGGCTCCCTCGACCCATGTTGTGGTACTTCATGACAGCATCTGGGCAAGCTACTACAGCGGCCTTCAACTGTGTCTACTGAGTGCTCTTCTCGTTAGAACACAACGGGGCAGAAGAATCTTGTCAGGAGCCTCAGAACAGCCTCTGTTGATGAAGTGTGCACTGATGGACGCATCTGCAAGCCTCTCTGTGTCCTAGCTTCTCATCTCTAAGGGGATTGGTGAGAGCACTGACAACCCAGGATAGTTAGTAACAACATTGAACACAGTGCCTGGCAAGCAGGAGGGACTCAGTGACTATCAACTCGGACTACTTTGTGGTTACTCCTTGCTTGTGGCAAATTATGCTAGCTTTCCCTGTAAAGTTTTCTTTTTTAAATGGAATTTTAGATGAAAATGGGGTCAATTAAAGTCAAAGTATTAAGTGAATAATTACATAGGCGATAGGTAGGTACGGCCAATATTGTGAAGATGGGAAAACTCTATTTTGATTGAATGTGAAGCCCTGTTCAAAGCCTGCTATGTGTTTTTTTTTCTTGTTTAAAATGTATTTATTTGAAAGACATACTTACACAAAGACATATGTTAATCCATTAATTGACTCCCCAAATGGCTATGATGGCCAGGCTGAAGCCAGGAGCTAGGATCTAAGAGCCAGGAACTCCTTCTTGGTCTCCCATGGAAGTGCCAAGGGCCCAAGCACTTGGACCGCCTGCTGCTGCTTTCCCAGGTGCATTAGTAGGGAGCTAGTTTGGAAGTGGAGCAGCTGGGACTCCAAACCATGCTATTAAGGAGTTCCTGTAACCAGATAACTTGTTGGACCACATGCTGGCCTCATGCTACATGCTCTAAGACATTTTTAACATCCCTCAGGAAGGTATTTACAATTCCATTTTCCAGAATAGGGGTCTGAGCCATGGAGAAGTTAAATAACCTGCCCACGGTCATGAGGTAGCAACAGAGGTGGTGGAATTCTCCAGGCTGTGCTAACTAAACTTATAGCAAGGAATAACACACGTTTCTGGCGGGGAAGACTTGGTCATCTCTGCGTGTTCATGCAGTTGGCCTCACTTCCCTGCGCCACATGAAGAGCAGATAATGATGCATGCTTTAGGTGCTCACGTAGTGCTCCTCTAGTCTGTTGTCGAGGGTGTGGACGGCCCTCTCTGGTGAAAAGAAGAAAACAACAACAACAAAAAAATCAGTTTGCTGCTTACAATCAGTTGAATAATGAAGAGTGAACTCAGCACTTAATTAGAGCATGGACCCAAATAAATACATCTCTGAGTTCTGAAAGTACTGAGTGTACTGCAGAATCTCAGAACATAAAACAGAAACAGTCTGAAACAATTCTTGGAACATTGCTGGTAGGGAATGGTCCAGAAGGGAGGTGGCTTGGCATCATGATAACTGCTTCCCCAGAAGAATGTATCAAGTACAGGGAAATGCTGTCCAAAACTAGCTGTTCATCATCGCTTTAGCTAGGTTTTACAAAAAGCTCCAAGTGGTACTCAACAGGGAAGACCTGTTCTGTTTGCTTTTCTTTTTACTAGAAACTTCATTTTGGTTTTATAGGATGCAAAATGAAGAAGGATGCGGATGGAACATACCAACATTCATGCAACTGTCATTTCAAAATGACCCCAAACTGCTCCTTATAAATTACAAGACCAGGAAGCAAACAATGCCCTTTGCTACAGCTCCTCACTTTATGGTGAGACTATGCCAGCACTCTGCCAGCCTGGGGAGTCTACTGTTTGGAACAAAGATATGAAAAGTTGGGAGGTCCTTAATTGTCCACTTTTCTAGGCAATAACTTTTATGCATGTACATGTTTGTGTATTTAAGCTTCACTGTGCAAACGTCTATTATGAATAACACAATATGTCTCTCTTATAAACACTTCATATTACACACTAACTCATAAAGGTTCTCTTGGTCTAATAAAAGCTCTGTACTTTAGAAAAATAAGAAGAGAGACAAGTGTTTATAGCTCTCCTGCTTCTGTCTCCGTAGTGGCAGGAATTTTCCTCCCTGTCCATTTTCTCCTTCCTCCTCCCAACTGAACAGTAAGAAGCCAGAGTCCCAGGAGGCAGAACTCAGGCTTCATGGTTAGTGAAAAAATTCTCAGACGCATTTGGGGCTGAACTTGAGATCTTTTGATTTCATCCTTGCCTCTTCCCACATCGCCTCTCTGTCCTGGCTGGTTGGATGCATGATCATTTGGGATCTCTGTAGTAGAACTGAATATTCAGGGAAGAAGCCTGTAGAAAATGGGAAGCTTTCCTAAAGCTGCTGCTGGGGTTAGCTGGGAACAACTCAGCTGCTTTTGTGCTTTGCAAAGTATTTGGTTTATTTTCGGCAAATGGGTTCAAAGGAAGAGCTCAATCCCCATGAAAGCCTTCGCTGTAAGTCTGGGGAAGTTTCCAGAGACTTGAAAAAACAGCATCAGTGACAATTAGGAACAGTCATTTCCTGTTGCTGCAATTGTGAGAGAGGGAAACATGGGCAAGAAGGCTTCATGATGAGATACCGGTGGCTGGTGCTGTGGTACAGTGGGTTAAGCGGCTGCTTACAGTACAAGCATCCCATATGGCTGGCTGAGTGCTAGCTGCTCCACTTCAGATCCAGCTTCCTGCTGATGTGCCTGCTATAGAACAGGGGCAGATAGCTCAATACTTGGACGTCTGCCACCCATGTGGGAGTTCAGGATGGAGTTCTAGGTTCCTAACTTTGGCCTGGTCAAGCCATGGTCATTGCATACATATGGGGATTGAAGAAGCAGATGGAATCTCTCTCTCTCTCTCTCTGTGTTACTCTACCTCGCAAATAAACCATGATTTTTTTTTTAAAAAAGGCTGCAAGTAAACAACATGGTCAATGACTTCTGGAACTAAAGATTACTTTTAGCTTTTATGTGGCCAGCCTGACTGTACTTAACTCTTCCATACATCATGTATGGCATTTGAATTTCTGTCTGCTGTGGAATTCCATGGCATTATCCCGGAAAAGGAACTCACTGAATCTAAAGGGCTATAAGACCTCGTGGTAGTAACAAGTAGATTCCAGAATTAAAAGGCAGCATCTCTGTACTCATGCTGCTGAAGTTAAATTAGGAGACAATCTGAATGCATCCTACAGGAACCAGAACTAACATTTAGTCACAGCTGGTCAGAGAAAACAGATGACCCACAATTGCCAGCACCATCTTAGTCACTATGTGAGAGAGAGGTGGACTGTGGTTCTGCCCTACCGCCTTCCTCCTCTCTCACCCCTTGGTTTTGGGCGGGCTGCTTGCTGCTTTTTTTCACCTTTTTTGTAAGTAGGTAAATGAGAGGCATGTGATTGACACATCCAAGATCTTTTCCATTGAAAGATGGGTACCAGCCGGTTTAAGTCCTCATGTGTTGGCTCCACTTAGAGGAAAGCACCCCTGTAATCACAAATGCAGCATGGTTTGGTTAATGGGTGCTCATGTTTATGAGCATGACTGGACGAAAGTCTGAAGATGCTTTGATGCAGAATTAGAATCCTGAACTTGAAAACAATCAACATATCCCAGTGATGTCACCTGATAATCGGGGTGACCTATGCTTCTAAGAACGAAATTCTTATTACTGTATCAAGACAGAGAAGATGAAAATAGATGGCTCCAAAGTTTTAGTGGAGCCATGAATGATCTAGCAATGAAAACAATGGCTACAACACTTGCATTCCATGTCAAAGAAGAAAGCTCCGGCTTCCTGTTCATGTAGCTCTTGGGAGGAGCAGTGATGGCTCGAATAATCAGGTACTTGCCACTCAAGTGGGACACCTGGATTCAGTGTTTGGCTTCTGGTTTTGATCCAACCCAATGGAGCACTGGAGAGTGAACTGGAGAGTGGATGGGAGCTCTCCTATCTCTCTATTCATCTCTCTGCATCATATATAAATAAAATGTTACAAAGGGCTTAGAATATTTGAATTTCACTTATCTGTTCAATGATTCTCTCAGGATAGCACAGATGATTTAAAAATTGTAGTTTATAGTTTCTTTTTAAAAAGTATCTTCTAGTGGCCTGGTCTTTGAGATGAATGATTTAGAAACATAAATGTCTGCACAGTTGAAACTGACTTTTGTATCTTGCTTCTTCAGATAGCCTCTTTGCCAGCATGGTGGTCTGTTGTGTGTC